CCAGAGAGCTCGTTTGTTAGAGGTCGCGCCATGGAACCAGGATGCTGGGTTTGGTGCTGGACTGCTGGATCCCCCGGCACCCGAGCAGCGACCCATCTTTCGAGCGCCAGTCTCTGCTCAGGACTGGGCGCAGGATCTCTGGAATGCTCTATGAGCGTAATTACTTCCCCGTGCAGCTTCACATTCTTCTCAAGCCTTGCACGGGCCCTTTGAATATGGTGGTGGTAGGAGGGATTTGTGGAGGGGTTGGGAAGGAAGATAGTGCGGCCTCCTGCCTTTCTTGCTCTCTCTCGCACACGAAGCTGTCGTCAGCTCGAGTCTCAGCCGTGTCGGCCGAACCGAGGGTCGATCCGTGAGGGGAGGGGGCCACAGTGGGCGCTCCGAAAGGAACTCGCGAAGCCCCCTCCCCACAGCGGCGCTCGCCGAGGTAAAGTCGACGATGGCAGCAGCTCACTTTGAGAGCGATCAGCGGTCGTTGAGATCGCGACGAGCAGTTGGGGGAGGAATTGGTCAGGTTGGGTGGGACGTGGGAATGTGATCAGAGAGACATGTGCATGCATCTGTTGCTCCTTTCCGCCAGCCGCCTGCGTGCCACGCCGCCCGCCTGCTTTCTCGCCCCCGCATCTTCGACAGAGGTGCGACCCCCTTCGTTCTGCCACCGACGCGTTTGCACGTTTCCAAGCCTTCGCCCGGGGGGGGCAGCGGCAGGGGGTTCGGTGAGCGTAGTCCGTCGCTAACCACACACCCGTTGCGTGTGGCACCGAACCCCCGAGTGTTCTCCCAGTGGCGCCGCCCCTCGCCAGGTGCTCACGCACCTGATCGTTGCCGCCGCCTGCCCGCATGCATCATTGCAGGGTTGCAGTACTGGGGATGAGAAGGGCTAGTGGTCAGGAGACAGAGCTGTACTTGCCAGTCGTTGGATAAGGTAGGCCAGTCCCTTGTGGTGCCGCACGTGCATGCAGATGCCATCGCAAGGGCCGCCCTCGGAGGGGATCCCAGCTCCCCGCTTGGCATCCTCCCTACTTCCCAGCTCGAGTGCAGCCGGCTCAGCTCTTGGCCCAGGAATGTCAGTTGCCCCAGCCAGTCATCTCACAGGTGTGGGTCCCACTCTCTGCGGTTCTGGTTACTAGTTGCTCTGACTCGCAGTTCACACTGTAAGTGGGTGTGCTCTGGTCACTGCAAGCTCCGACACGATTTCGACACTCGTGCCTGGCGTGATATCACACGAGCGAGCTTGCAGATACTTTGCACGACCACTCTCGTCTCCCACCTTTGCTCACCCTTTCTTGACCAGTCCCCAGGGAGTTGGCAGCAACCAGCACCAGCAGGACGGCCCTCCTGCTCTCTATTGCATAACTGCCCTGAACTGGTCGTGACTGTTTACCTTAGCGCCCGTGCAGAACTTTTTAGCGCCTGCTAATATTCTGCCAGCGTCGCGCTGCTCTTTATTGCTGACAGGCACTGTGCTTCATCAGCCGCGCAATCAAAAAAAAATGGGCGTTGCATCATGGGGGACGGTACACAGGGAGAAGAAACGTGCACCTTTCGCACCCGTTTCGGGCCCCAGGAGGCCCCTTCAGCCAGGGCCCCTAAGGTGCGCAAAACAAACACACCTCTGCACCCCCCCCCTTTTATCGCCCCTCCATTTCTCAACGCCCGACTAAACTAACCTGGGCCAGCGCGACAGCGCAAGCCTGGGTCAGACAGGGCCACGTCGCGATCACAGGCCGGCAACAAAGAAATAACCAAATCCGGGCCAGTGGAGGGCGAGGAAGCGAAGTCGTCTCCAGGCGGCTTCCAAACCCGGGTCAGAACCGAAGAATCTCGGGGCTAACTGGCGGGGCAGCAGCAACAGGAGACCGGGCCGCGACCACCCCGACGCCGTGCTCTGCTCACAACGCTGGCCCCCGGAAATCTCGACCCTTTCCGCGGGACCAGCTTTACCCTCAGTGGTTTTCTAACGGTCCCGGGGCCCGGCGAGGGCACCCAGAGGCTGACGAAACTAAGAGCAGACCTCCGTTCTGAGTTTTCCAATGCGTTGGATGCCGGGCTTCTGGGTCGGAACTCGTCTCTCCAACAGCCGCTCGGGACGATCCGGGCACCCCGGGAACGCCCTCGGCGAGACGCAGACGCCGGAAGGCATCCCGAGGCTGGGAAGCCGACGAGAACCGACGAAAACGCTCAAAATACCGCAGACTTCAAACCTCGGGGCCTTGATTTCTTAAGCTCGATTTTGTTCGAGACACGGGCCCCAGACCTCTTGATCACTTCCCTAAGACTGGTGCTTCGTTTTTTGACGATCTCGAGGCCTGGCGAAGGCCCCGAGATGCCGAAGACTGTGAAAACCGCCGTCTCATTTTTGTTCGACACGCTGGCCATCTTAGGTACGTCGCTAAGGTCTGGGAGGAGCCCGCGCCCGCAGCGCGCCGGCTCCTCGCTGCCCGAGCCGTGCTCCGCGCGGCCGCCAGTGCGCGTGACGGACACCGCCTCCCCACGCGCCGCCGCGGGTGCGCCGCCAGGGGGGGGGGGGCGAGCGGCGCGCCAAGGAAGACGTGGGATCCGCGCGCAGATGCACGCAGGGATCTTTGAGCAGGGATCGACCGCGACATGTTCTTAGAACAAGACATATTCGTAGAACAAGATGAGGTGCGAACAACAAAAACAATGATTTTAGAACATGAAGCCGACGATGGATTAAAACAAGACGGTCTCAGCAAGGAATGTCTTGAGGCCACCTCAAGAGCTTCTGAAAACAGTCTTTGGTGGGCCTATAGGAAAACCAGGATACTTCGCCACTGATTGAGATTTGGGCCCTGTCCAATAGGGCTTCGCAGAAACGCCACAGGGCAACGTGTCAATGTTCTGGCCAGTTCTCCAGGCATCTCCAGGCGACAAGTGTTGAAGCAAATATGCACACTGCGTTTGGGTCGCAATGTGCCGTCAAATGGTGGACACGCGTATCATCGCAAAATGGGCATGTTCGTGGCCCCGCGAAAGAAAGCCGTGCACGTCAGAGGTGCGCTGGCCAAACGGCGAAAATGTGAGACCAATGATACAAAGAAGCGCGCACAGGAGCGCCACACTCGATGGTTGCACGGCGAGGCAATACTTCTGCGCTGCGGAAGGCCACGCCGTCTCCGATTGAACTGTCTTGTGCAACAGCGCCGGAAGGGCCTCCATACCCATGGCAGCCTAAGGACCCCGCTAGCCATGCACGTTCAAGAACTATGGATCTTCGATGGGCCAAAGAATAATCAATGCTTGGGAAGTCCAAGGACGCCGGAGACACGCGCGTTGACATCTCGCGAAGAATAGCGGGCAACGAACTGAGACGAAATCGCCGTAGCCGACGCAGCCGCCGCAGGGGGGGGGGCGGGCCGAAGACGCAAGGATGCAAGGGCAGCCTTGGGAAAAGTACTTGCCCTTGTAATCTTGTTTGGCCGGTGGAGGGGCGAGAAGGGCGGTTTTCTCAAAGCACGATCCGTCAGAATCGACTTGGGAAACCGGATTGGATCGGAACGTGTATCGAATCGGGCCGCACCGCCACGGATTCGACATCGGATCGGAGCGTCCGCGCCAGGTTTGCACAGCAGCGCTTTGCAAGCGTCGGCCCGCAGCGGGTCGTCGGAATATAAGAATCGAGCCGGATCGAGCCGGCCGGAATCGACATCGAACTGGGTCGGGCTGGGCACCCTGAGGGCGGTGGGGGGGACTCCTCAGACGGCGGGGGCCCTCCTGCTCCGACTTCTGCGATGCTGTCGCGGGCGGCTCCAGGCTGGGCCCCAGGAGGGGCCGACGAGGGGAGGCGCGGAGGCGAGAAACGGCGGGGGGCCGAGGCGGTCCCGGAAGGTCATGGGCCTCAGGCCCAATCCTGGCGCCCAGCATCGAGCCGACACCCAGCAGGGAGGGCCTGGGGGGCCTCGATCTTCTGGCCCAGGCCCCCTCGAGCCATCAAAGAATCCCGACGGAAAGTGTCGGGGGGCCCTCACCGGGCCCGCAGGGTGGAAAGCCGGCCCTGGGGAGTGGGTCGACTTCTTTGGTTTGGCGGCGCGCACAAGGGGGCGGGGGGAAGGCTTCTGAGAAGGAGGTTGCTTCTCAGAAGGCGGCTGCTCGATATGAATCGATTAGGGCCCACGCCTTCTAAGAAGCAGGGGCGCTTTTAAGCAGCCCCCCCCCTCGCCCCATAGGGAGAAACAAAGGGCGGAAAGACAATGAACCCATCCTGCACAGTCGGGCGGGACTGGTGGCGATGCAAATGGAAGCGATGGGTGGAGGAGGGGATGGCATGCGGGGCGAGGTGCAGCGAGAGGCCGACCCTGGGACAGACAGGCGGGCCAGCGGAAGATACGGGGACCGTCGCCAATATACTGCGGCGAGGCACGGCGGAGGGTGGGAGAGGACGTCCAGCGGCTGGGATGCACACAACGCGGGTGGGTGCAAGGGGCGACGGGAGGGCCCGCAGTTGGAGGGGCTGGGAGGGGAAGGTGGGGCACGTCACGGTGGCCTCAGACCGCGCCACTGGAGCCGTCAGGGTCATCGTCGGCGAGCGCGAAATCGGCGGAGAGGGCTCAACTGAAGTCCATCCACGGGTGAGCACCGCCACTGCAGGGATCTCTTCGGCACGTGGCGACGGCGAGCCCGAACACGACAACGGGACTTGCGATCTGACGCCGTCGGACGTCGGTCCGAGGTCACGGCGAAGCTCAGGTGGCGACGGCGAGCCCGAACACGACAACGGGACTTGCGATCTAACGCCGTCGGACGGCAGTCCGATATCACGGCAAAGCTCAAGTGGCGACGGCGAGCCCGAACACGACAACGGGACTTGCGCTCTAACGCCTTGAGCTCGGAGAGCGCCGCACAAGGGTCTCATCCGTGGCGACGCGATGCCCGAACACGACAGCGGGACTTGCGCACTGACGCCATCTCCCACAGATGGGAAAGCGAGGCATCCGACAACTGGCGACGGTGAGCCCGAACGCGACAACGGGACTTGCGCTCTAACGCCGAGGGGCGGCGACGAGGTCGGGGAGAAGCCTGTCGACAACGAAATCGGCGAGGTCGGCGCCGTCGGCGCACAGCGCGAGGTCGGGGCCGCCAGCGTTACTGGCGAGGGGGGCGACACCGAAGCCCCGCACGAAAGAGATGATGACAGCGCAACCGATGTCCAAGAGGCCGCCCCCAGCGGCGCACACGCGGACACCGGCGACGACGGCGCCACCGAAGCACGCCGCGAGGAAGGGGCCGGGCGCGCCCACGGCGGAGAAGGTGTCACCCGAGCACAGCTCGAAAAGGACGACGGCAACGCCGCCGACGCAGAAGGCGCCCTTCGTGAAGCGCACGCAGACACAGGCGAGGACGGCGTCACCCACGCACAGCATGAAACTGGAGTCGGCAACGACATGGGCGAGGACGGCGTCGCACAAGCACGGCGCGACAATGGTGAAGCTGGAGAGCACGCCGTTGGCGGGGTCGCAGCCGAAGGTGCACGTGGGGTAGCCGAACTCGGCGGGCACGATGGCGCAGCTGAGCGGGGGCGGGACCAGTGGCGGCGAGATGGCGCGAATGGGGCCCTGGAAGACGGTCGAGGGAAGCGGGCCCGAGACGGGGCGGCGACCGCGGGGAGACACGAGGGAACCAGGGGCTCAGTCAGCAAGTCCTCGGCTCTGGGCATGTGACTCGGCGAACACGAAGAGGGCGATGGCAAGCAGCGGGGAGCATGCACAGATGGTGATCGTGGCGTGCACGACGTGCCACTGTCTGAATCGGACGCCGAAGACGCCTCCGACGAGGAAACAGGAGACTCGCACGATGATGGTGGCGTAGAGGGGGTGGCGGTAGAGACAGCAGGCGTGAGCCTCGGAGAGGAGGGCGGAGAGCTGCTGGAGTCGGAGGAGCTCGGCCGTGGCGAGCGGATGAGGTAGCCCCTGCGGGCGAGCTGCCTTCTTTCAGTGACCGACATGGCTCGAGGTGTGGCCAACATCATCGCCCTCACCCCTGCGACAGCACAGCTCCGAATGGCGGCGGGGGAGAGCGGCCATGAGTCACTCAGGCGGGCCTCGTAGTACATGTTGTAGGCGGCCGCGAGGACGGAGTAGGAATGGAACGATGGGCGGCGCAGACCCCATCTGGACGGAAAGTCGAGGGCGAAGGGGCGGGCCAGCGCGCGCCGAAGAGCGGACCAGAGGACAGGGCATCGGGCGTAGTGCTCGAGCGCGTCGCGCTTGCCCATGCAGCCGAACGCGCAGGGGCGCATCCCCAGCGGGGAGACGATGCGGGCGGGGGTCATCCACCCGTCGGTCCACGAGCGGATCACCGCCCAGGCCCACGAGCACGGGCACCTTCGAAGGACGGCCTGGCAAGCGTCCCAATCCACGCAGCAGAGAGACCTGGCGTGCTGGCCAGCGATCTTGGCAAGGCGCATGGTGAACAGGGAACGAAGGGGACGGGCAGCCAGTGAGGCCTCGCGGAGTGCGGCATGGGCGGCACGCTGAGGGCGGGGGCGGGCGCGGCCACCGTGTTCCAGCGCAGCAATGGCCGCCGCCAGTGGGGTGGAACCGAATGCGGCGAGCGGACCAGGAGGTGGGCGACCAGTAGCAGCTGCTTCCAGATTCTCGACGAACGCGGGCGCCTTCCAGAAGTTGGGGTAGGGGAGGCCCGTGGCGAGCATGTCGAGCGTGGCCCATTCAGGGTGTTCAGCAGCGTGTGCGCGAAGGCGAGCAAGCAGAGGAGCCCAACACTGGAAGGTGAGCGTGGCGGCACGGGTGATGGTGGCAGTCGTGAGGTTCCCCCAGCGGGTGCAGCGCGGGCCGCCCCAGCGGTCAAGCTGGGACCACGCGTCGAGGTGCAGCGCACCTAACGGGAGCCTAAACACCTGCGCCAGCACCGATAGCTCTGGCTGGAGAACGGACTTCGGCGGCCAGCAGAACTGAGCGACGCAAGAGAGTGTAGTGACCGCCCTCGTGTTGTAGAGAATGGCGGAGTGACTGGCAGAGGTGGTGCTGCGTCCAATAGCTTGAGCCCTCAAACGGAGCTTCGACAGAGGCGCGCCCCATGACGTAGTGGGGGAGACGGCGGGGCCAAGCCAGAGGCCCAGATACAAAAGCTGCGAGGTGATCTCGAACCCGATCCACTCAGGGATCTGCGTCGAAATGATATCCCGAACGTCCCTGGCGAGCTCCACGGAGAAGGGTCCAGAAAGGGGAACCACCTTGCACTTCGCCACTTTGAGGTCCAAGTTAGCCATGGCCGACGCGCAGGACATGACCTGAGAGACCTCCGAGAGGGCCTGGACGGATCTCAAGACGCCTCCGATATCATCCGCGCAAGCTCTGATAAGGCCGAACTGAGGGCCCTCCACCTTCTCAGCCAGGTCCACGAGGAACGCGGCAGTGCCGAGGGCGTACAGGGTGCCAGAAAGGGGACAACCTTGAATGATCCCGCTCTGAATCCAAAACACGTGCTCGAGATGCCCCTTGTGGAGCGTGACCCCTTCGATCGACGAGTAGATGGACGCGACGAACTGCGCGAGGGGCCCAGGGAGCCCATGAGACAGAGGCAGCGCATCAGGAAGTCCTGGTTGAGGGAGGGGAAGGCCCGGCCGAAATCGAAGGAGAACAGGGCAGGGATGTCGCGGGGGGCGTGGGGCGTGACAGACAACATCCTGCCCGCGGCGTCGAGCTCGAGAATGTTGACCCCGAAGTTTCGACCAGGAACAAATCCGCGCTGGCACGGCGGAGCCAGGGCCTGCAGAGACGGCCGGGTGGCGTGGTTGACCACCGCGGAGATGATCTTGAGGTCGCAATTCCGAAGCCCCAAGACCCGAACTTTGTCAGGAGAGCGGATGCACGCGCGGTCAGCGAGCTCGGCGTCCGCGACATTCTCAGGGAGAAAGATCTGAACCGTGTCCCCCGAGCAAGCGAAGAGCCCCTGGCCCGTGAGGATCCACTCGAGAGCCTCCCAGCAGAGAATACCCACACTGCAGGGAGAGGCCGCCCACGCCGCATATGGAAGGGCGTCGGGTCCAGGGGCAGAGTGGCGAGCCATGCGAATAACCCTTCTGATCATTCCCTTCGACGGCGGCGGCAACGCAATATGGTGAGCGGTGGGGGGGAAGCGGCGAAGATACTCGTCAGCGGCAGCAGCGTCCCACGGCTTCTGGCGAAATACGGGCGCCCAATAGGCAGAGAGCTCGCGGATGCGAGCTTCGGGTTCGGCAACGACTCTTCCATCATCCAAGGCGACGCCTGACAGCGAAATACGGCGATTCAGCGGAGACCGCGGACGAGCCCTCCGTTCGAGCGCCCGAATCTGACACCGAATCTGAAATCGACCCCCCTCACGACGCTGCGACGCCTCAAGACTTTTCCGTGCGCTCACAGCAGCCTCGGTCTGAACCTGATCGACCCATGCTTGGAACGAGAGGGGGTGGCGAAGCTCGACCCTCCCCGACGCCAGGGAGATGAAGTCGGCCGCGAGCGGGTGAGAGTCCAGAATGCGAGCAGCAAGCGAGCGGTCCTGGCGCCACACCACACGAGCGAGCGACCGTGCGAGCTGGACCAGCGTCGCAGGATGACGCGGGCGATGGCGGAAAAGGGCATCCCTGGTCTCGGCGGCAGCAATCCTCAATAGCTCTTTGTATTTATCCAGCTTGACAGGGGGTGGCATAGCTTCCCATTACACAGCGCTGAACAGGCCTTCAAGACGACGCCGAAATTCAGGAGCTTCGAATACGTGCTTCTGGATGGGACGGGTGCTCGGGGGCCGAGCAGCACGAGCGGACATAGCGAGGGGGACCGCAGCATGGTCAGAGACCCTGCGCTCGGAGAGGGCCTCACGAGTGCCAACCGTACTGATCTGAGAGTGAACCTGGCAGATCTGCCAACCCGACAGCGAGCAGAAGATGCGATCGATGGCGGAGCACGATCCTGATGCTTTTTCGAAGTGCGAGGGGTCCTCGCACACTATCTCGGCGAGGCACGCGAGCGCCTCTCGCCAGCGAAGCTCCTGCCCATGGTGCCGCCTGTCGCCGCGGCGGACGGCAGTAGCAGGGAGCGCAAAGTGCCAGCGCGTCGCGCACGGCAAAATTGAAGTCGCCCAACACAAAGGTGGTGCACATGTCGGGGTACTCCTGCGCACGTGAACGTGAGGCCTTGATAGCCTCAACAGCAAGGCGGATGTCGCAATGGGAGAGCTCGTGATTGTGGATGTTGAAGATGCCCACGGAATGTGAAACCGATGAGATCGTGACTACGTGCGCACGCCCAGGAATGAGCACCCTCTGCGCTGTAGTCGGTAGCAACCCAAGAGAGGAGGTACCAATAACGCCACGCCACCACGGATATGGCCCAACACGGGGCCCTGGTCGAAACTGGAGAAGATGGAGATGTCATTCGCGATGGTCGCAATGAAGGAGGCGAGCTGGCGGTGATCCTGGTGGGCCCCCTGGAGAGCGATGATAGTGCACGAGGGGCGAATGTTGCTGAGGCACGCCTTCTTTATGCGGGCCTTGTCACCACCAGCCTGAAGGAGAGCCCTGGCATTCCACGTCGCCAGCCTTAAGGTAGGGATCTCGGATGAGAGCGCACTGGGGGCAAGCGCGGCGGCAGCGCTAAAGAGACCACTGTGAAGGGTCCGAAGGGTGAGTGATGTCACGGCACGCAGCACGAAGGGCCTCGACATCCATGCCGTGCTTGGCGAGAGCTGGGATGTCCCAGAAGGTCTTGGGCGGCATGTCCCCCCGCGCGCGACCTGCAACTGCATAAACTTGTCCCACCCAATCGAGAGGACGCCGCGCTCTTTGTCGGAAAAGAATCTCCTTCCTGGATACTGGAGCTCGACCGCCTGCCGAACCTTCCGGAGGGAGATCTCGAGCTTGATGCGCTTAGGGGACTTGTCAGGGCCAAGGTGGAGCCTGCACTTCTCGGAACCAGGCGTGGTGACCCAAAACTCCTTCCAACCCGTCTGGTCACGTAGATTCGATATGGCGGAGCGAGCCTTCCGAGCGGCAGCACCCGACGGACCTTTGAACTGAACCTCGAAGCGGCGGGCGGGGGCGGCCCCACGCAGCACGATGGAGTAGTCCTCACTGGTGAAGTTGAGGCCCTCGAGCCAGGGCTGGAGGGAGGCGATGACACTGGCCTGGGTGGTGGGCTTCTGCGAGACAGCGACAACAATGGTGCAGTCCTCGGCGCGCTCGAAGGAGGAAGGTGGAGGCTGCTCATCACGAGGGGCTGCGGCAGCGAGGGCGAGTTGCTTGCGAAGCTCCGCAATCTGCTCGCGGAAAGCGTCAATGTAGGAATCATGTCGGTCAAGCCTGGTCTGAGCGGCAAGCAGCTGGGCCGTGTGCTCATCAATCTGGGACTGGAAGCGCCTGCTGACAGCGTCGAGCCGAGGGGCGAGCGCAGACTGGACATGTTGCTCAACGGCAGTAGCTTGCTTGGCGACTTCCGCCTGCATAGCGGAGAGCATGGAGAGGAGGGTGGCGTGGTTGTCGCCGACAGTCTTGGACACGGTGCCGCTGACCTCCGCGGTGATGGTGCTGCGCATGAGCTGGAACTCCTCACGGCACACTTGTCTGAGGTATTCATATGAAGTGAAGTCATCATCTTCCATGTCGGCGGGACGGTCAGAACCAGGGTCGACAGGAACATCAGCGGCCAGACGCTTGCGAGCACCAGACCGAATAGAGCCCTTGCCTTTGCCCGCGGGACGACCTTGGGATTCTTGACTAGGGAAGGTCGGTACAGAGTCGATGGCCTCGGCGAGCTCGCTGAGCTCCTGGGACGACATCGGCGCGCCATCGGCCATGGGACGGAGTGGGAGTAGGATGTCCGCCAGCTGCTGAAAGCTGGATAGCCCCGCAGGAGGGCTGCCTCACTCAAAACGGGCCTGGAGGAGGGAGGAGGAAGGAAGGAGGAGGGAGGAGGGAGGAGGTGGGAGGAGGGAGAAGGAGGAGAAGGAAGGAGGAGGGAGGAAGAGAGAGAGCAGGGGGGGGGGGCAAGGGGGGACCCTGTACTGCGCGCGCCGATCCTCCCCACCTCTCCCCCTTCCCTGGAATCCGACGTCGCGAAAAAGTGCAACACCTTTTGAGAACGCGCAGACCGGAGCCCGAGACACCCTGTTTCTGCGGCGCTCCCGCGAGGGCCCAGGGGCCAGAGCCCGGGTGAAGACGCCAGGTGCGAAAGAATTGCGGCGCCCGGATCTCAGGGCCCCTCTTGGGGGTCCCAAGACGGTGCGGTGACAGACCGAGCGGTGACCTCGGAATCCCCAGAAACCTCACCGCACGGTCCGTCGCGGCACGGTTTTGGGACTTCGGAGGCCCCAGTCGCATGAGAGATCGTCGGAGAGCGACCCAAGCCCAAACCACGCGTTCACCCCGAATCCCCACTGACTCACCACAAGGTGTGGTCACCGCACCCTTCGGGCCCCCCTGAAATTCCCTCCTTTAGCAAATCGCCCTTTTGTGAAACCTGCCGGAGGAGAACTCCACGAGTGCGCGCGGCACCGCATTGAGAGTTCACACGAGCGTATGCGGGGCGGAACAGTTGACCGACGTCCAAAATCTGAAGACAGTCTCTGGCAAAGCACGCGCCCATTAGCGAAACCAGCAGGGGGCTGCACTCGTACCCTGCGTAGGCCAGTGTCGAAAGAACCAGTGGAGAACTCCTCTCGAGCCGTCTGGATGGGGCGTTCTCTCACTGCCCGAGTCCTGGGACGCCCGCGGATCCATCCTGGCCGAGAGGTGCCACAGAAAGAAGGGGCCGAAGGCTCCAGGGGTGATTTTTCACACTGCTGTGCAAGAGGCCGACGTCGGGTGTCAGGGGAGAGATCGGAGGGAGGGAGGCGGAGGGCAGGGGGCATAATTACCAGCCGGCTGGAGCTAGATTCTAGCTCCAGCCGACTGGAATCTAGCCGCTAGATTCCAGGGGCGCGGGCCCGGACTCAGCACCGGGTAGAAATATGCCCCCCGCAGTGGCGCGCCCCCGCTGCCGGCCCGTACCAGAACCGAAGGGAAGTGGCGAGTTGGCATGACTTGGTCGTCATAGACAGACACAGGGAGAGAGAGAGAGAGAGAGACAGAGAGAAAGGGACAGAGAGAACGAGAGAGACAGAGAAGCAATCAAAAAGAGAGTCGAACGTTCTCCTGTTGGTTCTGGATGCGCCAGAGCCACAATTTCCCCCGGAATCCGAATCTAGCAACACTGGGAAATGACGCTGGCGTGCATCGGCAAACCCATGTAAACTGGGTCAGCTTCCTGAAACGATGGCCAGAGCTCAAAATTCGAAGAATCTCTGCAGCCAAGTGAACCCCAGCAGGGGTCCCCGATACCCCAGAAGACCATTGGCCCAGACGAGGTGGAGATCCCGAATGGTCGCACTTTGCATCGACCGGCTTACGCAGGGCTTCTGCCAACGAAGCCGCCCATGCCGTACTTCTGCCAGCTGCCGCTGGCCCTCCGCCCTCCGCCCGGCGAAGGCGAGATCGGAAACTGTAACATACACGTGTCCAGTGCCGGGCCGTTTCTCAGTCCCAGGACGTCTTGCGAGTCGGAGGCGACGTCGGGGCGGTGTGGTGTGTACTCTAACCGATCGTGTCTCAGGGAGACAACGGAAAATGTCTACACCAAGGCCCCGTATACACCAAGATCCGCGGATCCGCTCGCCCGTGCAGATTGCAAGGACGGGCCAGAAAAAGCGTCGCCGTATAGGGTTCGTTTCCCTGCGATGGGCCCATCCCCTCGACCCCACCGATGGGCCGTATGCCCCCCTTTCACGGGATGCCTCAGGCGAAGAGGCTCCATGTGGTGCTACGTTGCGCGACCACGCTGGAGAGACCAGAGCCCTGCTCCTCGAAAGAAGCCCTGCTGGGCGGGCCCTTTTGGGAGGGCTCTCGGAGTCTTTGCTGGGCCGCCGCCTTGAAGCGTTTCGGGGTCTTCTGGAGCCTCTCGTCGATGCGGAGAGCGAGCGGGAGAGGGGAGCACGGAGAGGGGCCGCGGTCGCCCCCCTCAGGCGACAGGCTGGGCATCGCGTGAGGCTCGCGCGACCCTCTCGCGCGATTGCCGTCGACACTGAAACGGTCCCCTCTTTGGCAGGAAGGCAACGGGTGCTGAGGGCAACGGGAAGAGCATGCTACGCATGGAATGAAATCAATGGAAATCAATTGCAGTGGATCCGTGAGTGGATCAATCTAGATTGATGAGGCTATGATGTCTCTTTTGATTTTGAGCCGGCGATGATGCCCGCTCGTGCCCACCCCGTCCCGTCTTCAGGGACTTCGCATCCCCCTATGATGGTAAGATGGGAAGACGGGCCGCCGCCCATGCCACTGCACGTACGGTGCCAGGTTTGTGGGGATTTGGTTTGACCCCCGCAGTTCCAATGATGGAAACTGCGAGGGGTGTGAGGCCTCATGGTGGTCCTCACTGGTAAGGCCTATGATGGTCCTCACCAGGGGGGATTGGGCAAGGGCGGACGTCCACCAACAACGTCCGTCGTGCTCATCCTCCGTGAAATGCATTGTGACCACATTCATGAATCAGAAGACCTACGACATTCACGAGCACGGGCCCTGGGGCCTTGCCCCAGGACGGGTTCCTCCTCCTGAACCGTTTCCTGACAGTCCCTGGGCGCGTGGCGGGCCCTGGGGAACCCAAAACAGCAGACAAAAATCTCAGGACACGTTTCCCTCAGGACCCGCTTCCTTCGTGGCGACCTCCCCTGCTGCTAGAGGCCTCCTAGATGCGGTCCGAGTAGATGGGGTCGGAGGATCGCGCGGCATCGACGATACATCGACGATGCATCGGCGATGCATCGGCGATGCACCGGCGATGCCTCGTCGACGTCGGCGATGCATCGGCGATGTCAACGTGAAGCAAATCGGGCTCCACATCGAGCCGCATCGGCGATGCATCGGCGATGCGACGCGATCCTCCGACCCCATCTACTCCGACCCCATCTGGGAGGCCCAGGGCCCCCCCCCCCCCCCCCTGCCCTCCCCTCCCCCCTAGTTACCCCGCCCCGCTGGGGCAACCCCGCGCCTTGACCGCTGGTTCATTGGGGTCTGCGCTGCCCTCCAGCGCGGACGTGACCTCTCGCAGCCAGAGGGTGCCGCCGTCACCGCCGTATCCCTCTGGTTGTGGATGCCATTTCAATGGACACTCAACCAGCCCTATCATTGAATTGAAAATAAGGTCTTAATATGTAAAACTGGATAAAAGATGTTTCACAAGATGTTTCAACAGGATCCTTGCATGTTAGAAGCAGATTGCAAGCAACTTCTATACATCTGGAAAGTATTCGGAAACATGCCCCCTCTCCATTGATCGTATTCCACAACCCCCTGGCGCGCTCAAGGAGGGCACGGCGAGAGCGGGCGCGATGCCAAAGAGCGAAGGCCGTCCAGAGCGAGCAGGGCCCGCTGTTGGGCAGGCGACGCTCGTGCTGTCGTGCCCCAAATTATTAAGCCACGTCCGCGGCGACGCCGACAACGGGTCCTGCGCAAAATGGGCAGGACGCACGCCACGAAAATCCACCGGCCCCCTCTGGGGGCGCAAGGCTGCGAATTTGTGTGCGGTCTGCTGTCATGCGTGGCGTTACGTGTTGTCATTTGTTGTTTCTTTTGTCTCTCCAGTCCTGCTTCCTGCGTCCTGGTTACTGTCTGATAAGGGACCCCGCCGCGCCACCATTCAGCCAACGGGGGGGTGAGCCTCAAATCCAGGCTGCTCCGGGCCACCGCGCGGCCAGAACGGCCCGAGAGGCCTCCAAGATTGCCCGACGAGGCTCCGAAAAGAGCCTCAGGAGGCCAAGACGGCCCAAGATGGCCCCAAGGTGTCCCACGACGGCCCCAAGACGGCCCAAGATGCTCTCAAGACGGCCCAAGAGGCCTCCAAGAGGCCTCCCAAGAGGTTCCCATGAAGCAGAAATCAACGATTGTCCTTGCGTTTTTGAAGGTTTTTCCCCACATGTTTCGTGGGGTTCTGGTTTTCTTCCCTGCCGCGGCGCACCCGCGTCTCCTCCTCCCCTCTCTCTCCTTCTTACACAGCGCAGCGCAGCGCAGCGCAGCGCAGCGCAGCGCAGCACAGCACAGCACAGCACAGCACAGCAGCGTAGGGGGTGCGCAGGGGGTGGTCCCTCACCGCGGCCGCTATCCGTGACGGTCGTCCAGGGCACAGCAGGCATGGCATATTCTCGACACCATAGGGGTGCGCAAGGGGTGGTCTCTCACCGCGGCCGCTATCCGTGACGGTCGTCCAGGGCACAGCAGGCATGGCATATTCTCGACACCATAGGGGGTGCGCAGGGGGTGGTCTCTCACCGCGGCCGCTATCCGTGACGGTCGCCCAGGGCACAGCAGGCATGGCATATTCTCGACACCATAGGGGGTGCGCAGGGGGTGGTCTCTCACCGCGGCCGCTATCCGTGACGGTCGTCCAGGGCACAGCAGGCATGGCATATTCTCGACAGCGTAGGGGGTGCGCAAGGGGTGGTCTCTCACCGCGGCCGCTATCCGTGACGGTCGTCCAAGGCACAGCAGGCATGGCATATTCTCGACACCATAGGGGGTGCGCAAGGGGTGGTCTCTCACCGCGGCCGCTATCCGTGACGGTCGTCCAGGGCACAGCAGGCATGGCATATTCTCGACACCATAGGGGGTGCGCAGGGGGTGGTCTCTCACCGCGGCCGCTATCCGTGACGGTCGCCCAGGCACAGCAGGGCATATTCTCGACACCATGGGGGTGCGCAGGGGTGGTCTCTCACCGGCCGCTATCCGTGACGGTCGTCCAGGGCACAGCAGGCATGGCATATTCTCGACACCATAGGGGGTGCGCAGGGGGTGGTCTCTCACCGCGGCCGCTATCCGTGACGGTCGTCCAGGGCACAGCAGGCATGGCATATTCTCGACACCATAGGGGGTGCGCAGGGGGTGGTCTCTCACCGCGGCCGCTATCCGTGACGGTCGTCCAGGGCACAGCAGGCATGGCATATTCTCGACACCATAGGGGGTGCGCAGGGGGTGGTCTCTCACCGCGGCCGCTATCCGTGACGGTCGTCCAGGGCACAGCAGGCATGGCATATTCTCGACACCATAGGGGGTGCGCAGGGGGTGGTCTCTCACCGCGGCCGCTATCCGTGACGGTCGTCCAGGGCACAGCAGGCATGGCATATTCTCGACACCATAGGGGGTGCGCAGGGGGTGGTCTCTCACCGCGGCCGCTATCCGTGACGGTCGCCCAGGCATGGCATATTCTCGACACCATAGGGGGTGCGCAGGGGTGGTCTCTCACCGCGGCCGCTATCCGTGACGGTCGTCCAGGGCACAGCAGGCATGGCATATTCTCGACAGCGTAGGGGGTGCGCAAGGGGTGGTCTCTCACCGCGGCCGCTATCCGTGACGGTCGTCCAGGGCACAGCAGGCATGGCATATTCTCGACACCATAGGGGGTGCGCAGGGGGTGGTCTCTCACCGCGGCCGCTATCCGTGACGGTCGTCCAGGGCACAGCAGGCATGGCATATTCTCGACACCATAGGGGGTGCGCAGGGGGTGGTCTCTCACCGCGGCCGCTATCCGTGACGGTCGTCCAGGGCACAGCAGGCATGGCATATTCTCGACACCATAGGGGGTGCGCAGGGGGTGGTCTCTCACCGCGGCCGCTATCCGTGACGGTCGTCCAGGGCACAGCAGGCATGGCATATTCTCGACACCATAAGGGGGTGCGCAGGGGGTGGTCTCTCACCGCGGCCGCTATCCGTGACGGTCGTCCAGGGCACAGCAGGCATGGCATATTCTCGACACCGTAGGGGGTGCGCAAGGGGTGGTCTCTCACCGCGGCCGCTATCCGTGACGGTCGTCCAGGGCACAGCAGGCATGGCATATTCTCGACACCACAGGGGGTGCGCAGGGGGTGGTCTCTCACCGCGGCCGCTATCCGTGACGGTCGTCCAGGGCACAGCAGGCATGACATATTCTCGACACCATAAGGGGGTGCGCAGGGGGTGGTCTCTCACCGCGGCCGCTATCCATGACGGTCGTCCAGGGCACAGCGGTATCGGCGGGGCAACGGCCACCAACATCATTCTCACATGCTTCACTTCAGCTCTCATCTCTCCAGCCATCATATAAGTATGTGGGGTTCCTCGGTAGCGTATTGGGCCTTCTCGCCTTTTCGGCTTTCCGACGCTCCGAGACGGACCAAGAGGTTCCCAAGATCGCCCCACGACGGCCCTAGAAGCCCCCATGACGGCCCAAGAGGCCCCCAAGACGGCCCCAAGACGGCCGAAGATGGCCCCAAGACGGTCCACGAGGCGCCCCAGACAGCCCAAAAGCACCCTCAGACGGTCCCAAGAGAGGCCCGAGAGGGAGTCCACGAACCGAAAACTCTACCTTTCCGCCCCGAGAGGGCCCCAGGAGCCCCAAGAGGCCCCCAAAAGGCTGGCAAAGAGAAACCCCAAGGAGACCCCCAAGAGACCCAAAATGTTGTTTCCAAGAGGCCCCAAGGAGTCCCCAAAGAGGCCCCGAGGAGACGCCCAAGAGGCCCGAAAAAGACCCCCAAGAAACCCCAAAGGGACCCCCGCGCAGCCGCCCGCACTAGTAATAGGGGGGCCGCCGGCAGAGGGCGAAGCCATTAAGATCCGGCCGCTCCCGCCCGGCGGGCTGGGCCGTGCGAGACCTCTCTGTGACAGAATGTTTGGCACAATCTTTGGCCCCCTTCGCCAGTGCATAGTCAAAAACCTCCCTGAAAGTCCCTCCGAGGGGGCCCCACTCTGCCGCAGGCACCCCCCCCACGGCTTCAAGGTCTGGAACGCCACGGGGACGACCCAAGAGCGCCCCAAGCCAGCCCTAGCGAGTTCCGAGCAGTCCAAGAGAGCCTCCAGACGGTTCCAGATCGCTCCAAGACGCCAGACGGCCCAAGATGCCTCCAAGACGCCCCAAGAGGCCTCCAAGAGCACCCCCAAGAAAGCCCCACGAGACAACAATCATTACCTAACAGCGAAGACTGATAGGTTTCTAATGGTGTATAAAAAGAGAGCAGCAGATGACTCCACAGGGGGGTCTGGGCAGCCGTTGGGGAGCCGTTGGGGGGCCGTTGGGGGGCCGTTGGGGATTGCCGGGGAACCTCGTTTTTCGCAAACAGTCACACACTTCGTGCTCTTCGACCTCCCAGAACTCCATTCTTCGACATCCCAGAACTCCATTCCCGGGCCACATTCTGAATGCCCGGAGCCAACTGTAGGCCACTTCGTGGTCTTCGAGTTCCCAGAACTCCATTCCCGGCGTACATTTTGGATGCCCGGAGCCAACTGTAGGCCACTTCGTGGTCTTCGAGTTCCCAGAACTCCATTCCCGGGCCACATTTTGGATGCCCGGAGCCAACTGTAGGCCACTTCGTGGTCTTCGAGTTCCCAGAACTCCATTCCCGGGCCACATTTTGAATGCCCGGAGCCAACTGTAGGCCACTTCGTGCTCTTCGAGTTCCCAGAACTCCATTCCTGGGCCATGATTTTGAATGCCCGGAGCCAACTGTAGGCCACTTCGTGTTCTTCGAGTTCCCAGAATTCCATTCCCTGGCCACATTTTGAATGCTGAGGCTGAGGCTGATGCAGGCTGAGGCTGAGGCTGAAGCAGGCTGAGGCTGATGCAGGCTGAGCTGAGGCAGGCTGAGGCTGAGGCTGAGGCTGAGGCGCAGGCTGAGGCTGAGGCTGAGGCAGGCTGAGGCTGAGGCTGAGGCTGAGGCTGAGGCTGAGGCTGAGGCTGAGGCAGGCTGAGGCTGAGGCTGAAGGCAGAGGCTGAGGCTGAGGCTGCAGGCTGAGGGCGAGGCTGAGGCAGGCTGAGGCTGATGCAGGCTGAGGCTGAGGCAGGCTGAGGCCCGAGGCTGAAGGCAGACTGATGCTGAGGCTGAAGCAGGCTGAGGGCTGAGGCAGGCTGAGGCTGAGGCTGAGGCTGAGGCAGGCTGAGGCTGAGGCTGAGGCAGGCTGAGGCTGAGGCTGATGCAGGCTGAGGCAGAGGCAGGCTGAGACTGAAGCCGAGGCTGAAGGCAGATTGAGGCTGAGGCTGAGGCTGGCTGAGGCTGAGAGGCTGGCTGAGGCTGA